GCTTGGTACTCCGAGGCTTCATGGACCTTGAAGATTTCGACGTAGAAGCATTTCCGGGAGCAGCGCGACGGTCGAGCCAGAGGTTACTCGCTAGCACGGCAGCGTGCAAGAAACAGTGGAACATTCCTTCCCTCGACGTCAACATTGCCTTCCTGAAGGGATTGGCCTATCAGGAGTTTGCTAAGGCCACTGGTGAAAAGGAACGTGTGGTGTGTTTTATTTTGCCGCCTGGATCGGCCACCGTGCTCCGCGCCCTTCCATGATTCGAGCACTACGACGAGTCAACGCACTGCCTGCAGCGAAACCGGGCACAGGCACTAAGGACGCACCACGGGCTTTCTCACTTAAGCTCAGAAGAACCACCAGAGGAATTGGCCTCCGACGCACGTCCTACGACGAGGAGTTCGAGACGAGCAATAACTTGCTCACGGCCAAGCATGTTGATGACATAGCATGGCCAGTACTGAGGGCACCATTGACAAATCTGTCAACTGCGTTGTAGATACTTTCGGTAAGTGTAAACTCAACAAGCACACATATACCAACTCTGCTGTGATATACATTAAGGACGAGGACGGCAATGTTACTTTGAATCAATATGAATATATCAAACAGCTCCGTCTCATTCAACATCCCGAACTAACCGGCGCTGACGCTGGCGCTCAATCAGCCAAGATGGTGGCATGCATGTTCGTCAGTCTCAGGGGTGCGCTGGCATGCGCACTGATCACCCAGGTGTGGTTAATGGTGTATGTTGTATCTCTACAACGTGTCCAAGAACCGACCAACATTCGAGTGCGACGACTGAACGCGATCACCTGAAAGTTACAGGCGTGCCCGAAGAAGATCGTCTACCAGGCGATGAATTCCACGGGCGAGATCGACTTACATGGCGACTCAGGATATCGACGCCTGAGTGGAGACGCCGATGGCGACGTCAGAGGCTATGGTTTCCGCGGGGCAAACCTGATACGACGTGGAAACGCGTTGCCTGGTAAGCCTGTCGTTCACTTGATTGACGCGTGCTGCAAGTCTCACCGCTTGCAGGTCCGCTCGAGCTATTCAGCATAGACACTGGCAGCAGCCCGTAATTTGGAGGACTGTTATCCCACGATTGTGACTCTGTGCAAGCTCCACGCGGGGCCGCTCACGCCCACTGAGTTGAAGGATATGCTTGAGTTGGGTGGCCTGAGCATCAAGAAGCGCCCTCCTTCCCCATCTGGGGGGGGAACTCGACCAATGGGCCCCAGGCCGCGCCGGTGGGGGCGGGGATCGGTTTTCCGGTGCTCCCTGCTGCCGCGCGCTCTCCCCCGATGCTGTCCAGTGCTTGAGTGCTGCTTCCGTGCAGGACCCTGCGCGCCTGACCCAGCAGCGTGGCCCGAAATGGGTCGGGGGCGGGCAGAACCCGCACCCTGACACGTCGATTGGTGAATTGTCAGTTTTTCCAGTTCTCGAGAGGGCGCGCCGCGGCCGTCTTTTTCCAGGCTTGCGCCCTCCAGGTGTGGGCCCGAGGTCGTCATCACTAAACCACGTTTTACGAAAGGGGGTTGTGTTCAGTGTCGTTTAACCGATCCCCATCCCCATCCCCATCCCCATCCCCATCCCTTTCGAGACCCCCGCCAAATTCTAGACGCTTCGCGTATCCCCACCAGTCACCCCAGCCGCCAGCTGCTTTCGACGCGTTGCATGCGAGCACCCTGGCAGTTCAGCTCCCCAGCTCACCGCCAGCCTTTTCCCACTCGCCGGCCCGGCCGCTGAGGTGCTGCGTGAGGCTCCGGCCCACCGCTTTAGGTTAATTCGTCTTTGCGTGCCCCGCTCAGACTGGACTCGCCGCTGGCGCGCTCGCCTGCGGCCGCTGAGTAAAAAGTACCCCCACCAGTGGTACCTGGACTTCGGGTTCGGCAAGTGTGGCTCTGTACGCTCGTTGTCTGACGTTCTCTGGCATGGACTTCGCTTTCGACAAGTGTTACAGGTTTCGCTGCCGTTTGCAGTTTTTTCTGTGTTGAGGTTGCCCCTCTTCGCTCCAGCGCCGACACGACGTTTCGGCATTTGTGCCGCCTACTTCACGGATGTCGTCTGGGTGTGCATGTCGGTCCAATTCGTCTTTGACGGCGTTTGCTTGACTCACACCGAGCGTTCGACCTCTGCGTGTTCATGGTCGCGCCGCCGCGCCATTTTGGCTGCGTTTACTTGTTGGTCGCCGCCAGGATTTCCACGCCGCAGGGTTTGGGAGTATCGGTTCTGCTTCTTTCGGACGCCACCGGGAATGGGTCTGCCAGTTCTTTTCGCCCTTCTGAGCTGACGCCCTGCTGCGCCTGTCTTCCTTTTCCACTTTCCGCTTCTGCTGCCTAGTCGTGGCCCGGATAGAGTTTGGGCGCCTTTTGACCCGCTTCACGAGGCCGCTGACCAACAAATATCCCCACCAACCCATCCAGAAGCGATGTCCAGGCGAGTTGAAGGGTGATCTGGGAAGTGCGGGAGCAAAGAGGGGGACGGTCGAACCGTGTGAAGGAGAGAGGGGGCGAAGGAAACAATTGGATGGATGGATGAAGAATCGGATCAGGAGGAGGAGGAGGAGGAGAGGAGGAGGGAGGAGGAGGAGGAGGAGGAGAGAGGAGGAGGAGGAGGAGGAGGAGGAGGAGGAGGAGGAGAGGAGGAGGAGGAGGAGGAGGAGGAGGAGGAGGAGGAGGAGGAGGAGGAGGAGGAGGAGGAGGAGGAGGAGGAGGAGGAGGATGAGGAGAAAGAGGAGGATGAGAAAGGATAGGAAAAGGAAAGAGGCAGAGGGGAGCAAGCAAATGGGCCAGAGGTCTCTTGGATGCTTCTCGGAGCCTCTTGGGGTATTTCTTGGGCGTCTTGGGACGTCTTGGGGGTCTGTTGGCGGTCGTGGGGGGCTCTTCGGCGTCTTGGGTGTCTCGGGGGGGCCTCTTTGGGGCCGCTTGGGATCCTTTTGGGGGCCTCCTGGGGGCCCCTTGGGGGCCTCTTGGGGCCATCTTGGGGCCACCTTGGGACCTATTGGGGCCTCCTGGGCGCTTGTTGGGGCCATCTTGGAGGAAATCGATCAAACAAGAGGGGGGTCACAATTAGCGTCCCCCCCCCCAGAGGCCAAAATGGGCCAAAACCTTCGTAACATCAATGATTTTGGCTTCCTCGCCGAGGCCCTTTTGGACGCCCCGACACCTCGCGGATCCCCTTGTCCAGGTCCAGGGGAGGGGGTCGGGGGAGGGGGAAGCCCCTCCCCGAAGGGGAAGAAGGAGGGGTACCACCTACGCCCAGAGGGCTGGTGGGATTACCACCCCAGTTGGGGATACTCCCCTCGAAACCCGAACGGAACGGCCTATATCCCCATCTAGGGGGGTAAATCGGCCAGTGGGGCCCAGGCCACGCCGCTGGGGATGAGGATCGGTTAAACGATGCTCATCTGTGAAACGATACTCATCTGTGCATCCCCGAGAGCGTAGAGCTGATCGGCGGGCGCAAAGCGCCGATCCCGGCGTGCGGCCAGCGCTGCAGCAGCGGGGACACCGCTCCTGTCGGGGTGGTTCTCGGCGTGCCCCGTCGGGCCCGAGGCGCCCCCCAGGATTTTTTTCCAAGGAGGGCCCCACTGCCTCTTGACGTCAATTCGAAAAGTTGTTTTCTTGAAGTCACATACCAGTTTTTAATTCAAAAGCCACTCCTTGGAATTCAAAAACCAGTTCAGTTTTTTGAATTGGAAACAAGTCTTCGAGCACCCCGCGCGAGGCCCAGAGGGCCCCAGGGGCTCCAGCATTCAGCGAGAAGCTGGATGCATGTTGGGCCAGGGGCACCTCTAGCAACCTCCACTCTTGAGGGGCCGAAGGGTCTGCACGATTAGGGCATGCAAGATAGAAGATCGTGGTCCTCCTGTTCCTCCTGCTGCTGCTGCTGCTGCTGCTGCTGCCCGTCCACCTTCCTTTCTCGCTGTTCTGCTCTTCCTCCTGCTCATCCTCCTGCTCATCCGCGACCTCTTCCTCTTCGCCCAATGAACAAAACACCCTTTCTGATTGTGCATCATACGATTGGATCTTTTTTGGGGATCACGGTCATCTAGGACACCCCAGTCGGCGGATATGTATTAGTACAGCCAGCGCAGTTGGGAGAGATGGGTTCGAGGGGTAGGATGTCAGACATGGCCCGAGCCCACCTTTGCTTGCCTTTGCTCCTTTTTCCCTCTCCTCCTCTACAAGTAGACAACATGGGTACTCCAATCTCCTCTTTCCCCTGACTCTGTGCTGGAGATGGCGTGCCCGCTCCGCGTGCTGGTTTTTACATACAGGATTCCAGAACTTAATTTTTCTTGTGGTGTTTTGCAATCCGATTGTTTTCGGTGTTCCGCAATGGTGCTCCCTGTGCAGCGTGGGCCTCATTTTCGGATCGGCGCTTTGCTCCCGTCTGTCAGAATGGCGCTCTCGCCCCAGCGCGGGCCACTTTTCTGGATCCGAATCTTTCTTAATTGTTTCCGCCCCCCTCATTTCACTCCTCCGCCTTCCCCCGGTCCACCTGTTCCTCCTGCTCCTTCCAGTCCAGTTCTTGCTGCCGCTGTTCGTGCTCGTCCTTCTCCTCCCGGTCATCCTCCTGCTCACCCGCCACCTCGTCCTGTGCACGCAGCTCCTTTTTTATGCTCGCGCGTAACACGATTTGATCTTTTGGCTGGAGTTGCAGATCGGCTATGACACGCGTCCGCCGATAGTGAACAATTCAGCGCAATGGGAAGGGATGGGAGGGAGGGATAATATATCAGATGAGGCGTGGGCGCACCTAACTTGCCTCTCCCCCATCTCCTCCTCCCCCTCCCGTTGTCGCCGTTGCTGCCGCAAACGCCGCCGCGGCCGTCGTCGTCGTCGTCATCGTCGTCTTCGTCGTCGTCGTCGTTTGCATCGTCCTCTTAGTCGTCTTCTTCGTCGTCTTACTCGTTATCGTCATCGCCATCATTGTCCTCCTTGTCCTCCCCATCCTCCTCCCTCCTCCCAGTCTGCGCGCGTGAGGCCAGAGCGGGGCCGAAAGCTTCGCCCAAAGCCTCGCCCAAGCCCAAGCCGGCGCCCAAAGCCTCGCCAAGAGCTGAACCGAAGGCGCGCGGGAAGGCGAAGGCGGGCCGCTGGCATGCTCGGGCGGGGACACGAGGAAGGAGGAAGGGCAGGTGGAGGAGGAAGAGGAGGAGGAGGAGGATGAGCAGGTGGAGGAGGAAGAGGAGGAGGAGGACCAGGAGGAGGAAGAGCAGGAAGAGCAGGAGCAGGAGGAGGAGGAGGAGGAGGAGGAGGAGGAGGAGTCGTGGCGGGGCGAGGGGGAAGAGGAGGAAGAGGAGGAGGAGGATGAGGAGGAGGAGGATGGAGAAGAATAAGGTGGAGGAGGAGAAGGATGAGGAGGACGGAGGAGAAGGAGGAGGAGGAAGAAGAGGAGGAAGAGGAAGAGGAGGAGGATGAGGTGGAGGAGAAGGAGGAGGAGGAGCAGGGGAATGATGCTGTCGATGATGATGCTGATACTGCTGCTGATGATGCTGCTGATGATGCTGCTGATGCTGCTGCTATGAGGATGAAACTGATGATGATGATGATGATGATGATGATGATGATGATGCTGATGCTGATGCTGACGATGATGCTGATAACGATGCTGCTACTGATGATGAAGATGGTGGTGGTGATGCTGATGTTGCTGATGATGCTGACGATGATGATAATGATGCTGATGATGATGGTGATGACGATGATGATGACGATGATGATGCTGATTATGATGATGATGATGATGATGATGATGATGATGCTGATGATGGTGATGGTGATGATGATGATGATGATGATGATGATGATTGATGATGATGCTGATGCCTATGCCTATGCTGATGCTAGGGTTACGGCTGCTGCTGCTGATGATGATGACGATGATGATGAGGTTGTTGATTCTGATGTTGATGCGGATGCTGCTGAGGATGCTGCTGTTGCTGCTGCTGTTGATGATAATTCTGCTGCTGCTGCTGATGCTGCTGCTGACGATGCTGCTGCTGATGACGAGGACGATGATGATGCTGCTGATGATGATGATGCTGATGATGATGATGATGATGATGCTGATGATGCTGCTGCTGCTGATGATGATGATGATGATGATGATGCTGATGATGATGATGATGATGATGATGATGATGATGATGATGATGGTGGTGATGACGATGCTGCTGCTGATGATGATGACTATGATGCTGTTGCTGATGATGATGCCGATGACGATGCTGCTCATGTTGAGGATGCTGCTGCTTCTGATGCTGCTGATGTTAAAGGTGATGATGCGATTGAGGCTGATGCTGATGATGCTGATGATGCTGATGCTGATGATGCTGATGTCGACGATGCTGCTGCTGCTGCTGCTGATGATGATGATGATCATGATGATGCTGATGATGATGCTCATGCTGATGCTGACGATGATGATGGTCATGCTGATACTGGGGGCTCTTTGGCTGTTCTTGGGCGGTCTTGGGAGCCTCTTGGGCCGTCCTGGACTCCCTGGAGACCAACCAAAGAGCAAGCAATGCTGAAGCCGTGCGAAAACCAATTGATTTTGACGATCTTGGCCCCTTTTGCCGCCCTACAGGGCCTCCAAGACGGCCAAGGAGGCTCAACAGGGCTCCAGAACGCTCCTCGGGGCCATCTCGGGACACGTTGGACGTGCAGTCCCGAGCACCTCGCTCCTGGGCCTCTGGGAAACATCGCGCAGGGACTCCCCAGGAGTGCCCCGAGAGCGCACTGTGGCGGTCTCCCCCTTCGCCTTCCGTTCGGCCGCCAGCCTTAGGTCGAGCATGTCCCCCTACAGGCGGATTTTGGACGAAAAACTAAACATGACCAAAACATGCCTAAGCATAGTCAAAAATTATGATAGAATCGTCACTTGGGTATTTTTGGACTATTTTTGAAGATTCCTCCTGTAGAAGGACATGCCTGACTGAGCGCCAGCCCTCCCGCCGACGGCTTCCCAGGCCGCCCGTGGCAGGGCACTCGGCCTGACCGCGGCGGCCGCGTGCGCTGTGAATCAGGGACTCAGTATCGTTTAATCGATCCCCACCCCCATCCCCATCTCCATCCAGACCCCCAACATCTCAGCACCCTAGTTGGGGATATACCCTTCGAACCCCTTCAGGAAACGGCCTACATCCAGGGGGGGTAAATCGGCCAGTGGGGTCCAGCCCACGCTGGTGGGGATGGGGATCGGTTAAACGATGCTCAGGGGCTGCGTGCCACTGGCACGCCGCCGGATGCAAGGCCACGGGCGTTCGCTTCCAGCACGCCCGCCTCTCCTGCATGCTCTACCTGAGGGCACTCCAACTCGTGCCTCAAGGCAAGGTGGCGGATAGTAGAGCATCTTCTCTTACCACATCTTGCAATCCTTATGTTTTCTTGTCTTCTCCTGGCTTCTCTTCTGTATGCTTTGTTCTTCACGCTTCGTGTATCCCCTCCAGCCCGTTCATAAGTGTTACCGATGAGAGCTGACGGGGAAAGGGACGAAGAGACACATACAGTGAAACACAGCAGGCACCAAAGCTGGGTGCAAGTGGGTGCCCTTGGAGGGCCTCTTCGGGCCCTCCCTAGGGCCCGCGGGGGGGCGAGAGGAGGAGGGGGAGGAGGGGAGGAGGAGGAGGAGTAGGAGGAGGAGGAGGAGGAGGCGAAGGAGGAAGAGGAGGAGGAGGAGGAGGAGGATGATGATGATGATGAGGAGGAGGAGGAGGAAACAAACCGCCTCTTGGGGCTCTCGTGGGACGCTCTTGAGACGCTCTTGGTCGCTCTTGGGCGCTCTTGGGGTCGTCTTGGGGCCGTCTTGGGGCCGTCTTGGGGCCCTCTTGGGACCCTCTTGGGGCTCTCTTCGGGCCCTTCTGACGCCTTGTAAGGCTTTTTGGTGCCGTCTTGTAGGGCGTCGGTCAAAGGAGGGGGGTCCTAAATTTCCGCCCCCCCTCCCCCCCCCCAGGAGCCTTCGAAACCGCCTCTCGGGGCCCTCTTGGGGCGCTGCTGGGCTGCTCTTGGGCGCTCTTGGGGCCGTCTGGGGGGCCTCTTGGGCCTCTCTTGGGCCTCTCTTGGGCCATCATGGGGCCATCTGGAGGCCTCAAAGCGCACCGGGAGCGAAAAGGCGAGAAGACAACAACCATTGATGTTTCTTAGGTTTCGAAGGATTCTGGCCTTTTGGGAGGGTCCCTGGAGGGCGTCGAAAGCATCTCTAACAGCCTTGGGGGCGTCTTGGGGCCTTTCGGAGGAATGTTGGAGGCTATCTTGAACCACGTTCGGCTATCTCGAGCCATCTTGAACGCCATCTTGGACTATCTTCGGCCCTCTTGGGGCCATCTTGGGACCTCTTGGGCGCTCGGACACTTCGCGGACCCCCCCTCCAGACCGAGGGAAGGCGGGGGGGGGGAGGTAGACCTCGAAGAGAAGAGGGTCTTTGGAGGAGGCAAGACAGAACTCGCTAGACCACCTAGTCCCAAATCCTGGTGGTATGATCGTCCCTTCTCGTCTCTTCTCTTCGCTTCGCTGCTCTTCTCTTCTCGTCTCCTATATTCCCTTGTCTTCTCCTGTCGTTTCTTATTTTATCTTACCATTTCGTCTCTTCTCGTCTATTCGCTTTCTCTTTTCATCTATATCTTTCTCGCTGCCTTCGGCCTATTTTTTGCCCCCCCCCCTCTCTCTTTCTCTGCTTTTGTCGCTTGCCGCAGTCTTGCTTTAACTTTGTGTGTTCATGCCGATATGGTTGCCTGTGCCGTTGATATCTTTCGATCAGTATCCCCCTCCCTCCTGCTCCCCCCGTCCTCTTCCTGCTCTTCCTCCCTCCTCCCCTCCTCCCCAGAGCGCAGCGGCCGCGCCGCAGGCGGCGCCGACGCCGTCGCCCGCCAAGCGCACCGCGGACGGGGCGATCAAGAAGTCGCGGTCCTCGCAGGCGCTGGAGCAGGCCGGGGAGGGGGGCCCGATGGGGGGGGGGCGCCAAATGGTGGGTGCGGGGGAGGGGGGGGAGGAAGGGAGGAAGGGAGGGGAAGGACCCACGCCTCCGCCTCTCTCCCTCCCTCTGCCTTAGCTCCTCCTCCTGCTCCCTCTGTTGCTTCTCCTCCTCCTCGTCCTCCTTCTCCTGCTTCTCCTATTTCCGTCCCTCTCGGTCCCTTTCCCCTTTTTCATCCCTCCTCTTCCTCTTCCTCCTCCTTCCCCTCCCTGCCAGGGACAAGGAGGATCGTTAATGAACGAGGATGTGGAGGAGAAGGGGTGCTGTAGGGGGGAGAGAAGGAGGAAGAGGAGGAACATGAATAGGACATGTTGGATAGACCACATCCGATCAACGGGGGAATGTCAGGTTGCCCGCCGTTGTTTGGCCTAATTGTCATTCGATATTGTCAAGAGGCGAGTCTCACATACGGCTTACGTTGAATGTGCATGGTAGCGGGGCGAAATTAAGTACGACGACCACTGACGCTCACTTGCATGCCAAGACGCTCATGTGTGGCAGTCGTGAAGAATGGTATGCGCTAGTGCTGCAAACATCGCGCAACGCCTGTCGCATCGCAGAAACATAGGATGACCACCATCAGCTCGTCAAAATCGTCATGCAGGAAACCGTATCGGTTTGTCCAATCACATGAATCAGCGAGTCGAGTCACAACAATCACGTCGACCCAATTTTAATGGGCCACGTTGCAGCCAATAATCACACGGCGCTGTTAAGCGTGGCCAGAGAGGTGAACATTAACCAATGATGCACCAACGTGTTGAATACACCACGGGCCACTTTTGAGCGACTTATCGTGGATAAGCTAAGCAAGCAACACAAACATGTATAGCAGATATGTGCACACATACATGCGCATCCCTCTCCCATGTACAACTACATATCGATACACAGGTATGCCAGTACCAGGAGCGGTTCGCGAGCCGACTTTTTGACGGAGGAGGAAGGAGGATGATGGAGAGGAAGAGGACGACAAAGGGAAGAAGGATGAGTAGCAGGAGGCGGAGTAGGAGGAGGAGGAGGAGGAGAACGAAGGGGGAGGAGGACAGGGAAGGTGAGGAGAAGCTGGAGGATTAGGAGGAGGAAATTATTATCGCTTCCCCATCCAGAAACGATGCCCATGCGAGTTGCCTCTCAGAGTCGCCTCGGATGTCTCTTGGAAGCCTTGTGGAGGCCTCTTGGAGCGTCTTGGGGGCCTTTTGGCGGTCTCGGGTGCCTCTTGGAGCGTCTTGGGTGCCTCGGGGAGCCTTTTGGCGCCTTGGCTCAAGCTCATTTCACGTCTCCTACTAAAGCTCATTTCACTTCTCCTACTTCACTTTCCTCTTACCCGCAACTCGCAGACTACGATGGCACTCCCCGGCAAGCACAAGGGAGGACACGGATCTTCCCCTGACAATCAAAAGTACCAGAAACTTGAACCCGCACCGGACCGTGTTGAGCAGATGTTCAATGAGCTTGAGGAGATGATGGGAGGGTTGACGACCAAGGTCGACGAGAGCCTCAAGGTCGCTGAGGAGGCCCGTGCCTCTGCAGTATCCGCCCAACAATCCGCATACGCTGCACAAACCGGCATCGCAGGAGTGGAACACGACTTCGAGAAGACCAACAAGCACCTCGTCATCATGGACACGAAGATCAATGCCATCGAGAACAAGCACAACCACGGCATCCCATTCGCGGGACACTCCGACACAGAGGATCGCACAAGGCAGCTCATGGTATTTGGATTCCAAGAATGCCTAGCAGCAAACAAGATCATAGAGGATATCCAAAGCATATTAGTTAAAGTGCTGGGTGACATCCACAGTGGTAAAGTATCTACCCGGACCGACCAAGCTAAGATGGGCATCGTCTCTTTCCCCTCGGTCCCTGCCAAAGTGGATTTCTACAAAAAATACCGCGACCTCGACAAGGGCGACCCGATGATCAAAGGCAAGGTGTTCAAGAACAATCTGACGCTCAAGGAGCAGGAGCAGGACAAACATCTAGGCTACACCAAGCACCATTGCGAACACGTTGACTACAAGGACAAAGACGTCGAGATCAAGATTTTGTGGTCCAAGAAGACGGTCCTCTTGGGAGCGAAAAAATAGCTTGGCACAGCAAAGACGCAATTTTGACCACCACAGCGGCAGCCAACAAACATAGAGAAACAGGTGCAGGATTCTATCAAGACGTGGAAGGACAAGATCAACGCGGACCCGCCCACGGACAGCGACCTGTGACAAGGACGGCCGCCAGGCACGCGAACCCAGCGTGCTCTGCTGCACAGTTTTGCGTTTCACCCCCCTTCCCGAATTCATCCAGATGGGCATTCGATTCCCCTTTGTCCCTCCCCTCCTGCCCCCCCGCAAGAAGGTCCGATTCTTCCAGAATTCGACGCGAGACGAAATCGATAGTTTAGCTGTGTACTCCCCTCCCACAGGAACCGCCCCCTCAGGACATAGAGCGGCCAACCACGTCCACGACGCCAGCATTCAGCACCGGAGGCGGCAAAAAGAATTTTGCACACGCAGGCGGCGACGTACCAGCGTGCATTGTCCACCGATCAGCACCACCACGGGCAGCAGCAACCAACAACCAACAGACACAGCACCAGCACCGTCCAGCAACACCGCCGCAAGCAGCGCCGACCCCACCCGACCAGCACGTTTCACCGACCAACGCCGACCACCGACCCGCAGCGCCGCAAACAGCGCCGACCCCACCCGACCAGCACACTCCACCGACCAACGTCGACCACCGACCAGCAGCACCACAAGCAGCACCGACCCCAACCGACCAACGCCGCCAGGCAGCACTCGCCACCGACAAACGCCGACCAGCAGCACCACCACAAGCAACAGCGACCCCACCCGACCAGCAGCAACCACCCTCCATCGACCAGCACCGACCAGCAGCACCACCACAAGGAAAACCGACTCCAGCCGACCAGCAGCTCCCAGCGCCACCTGCCACCGACCAGCACCGACCAACAACGACACCGCCGCAAGCAGCGCCGACCCCACCCGACCAGCACACTCAACCGACCAACGCCGGCCACCGACCAGCAGCACCACAAGCAGCACCGACCCCAACCAACCAACACCGCCAGGCAGCACTCGTCACCGACCAGCGCCGACCAGCAGCACCACCACAAGCAGCAGCGACCCCACCCAATCAGCAGCAACCACCCACCATCGACCAGCATCGACCAGCAGCACCACCACAAGCAGCAGCGACTCTAACCGACCAGCAGCCATTACTAGAGAGCAACGACAACCACCGACCAACAGCGCCGCGGCAAGCAGCACTGACCCACACCGACCAGCAGCGACCCCACCGACCAACTCAGGCAGCTCCAACGGCTTCCCATTCCCCCTCCTGGCCCTCCCCTCTCCCCTCCTCCTTCCCCTGATGACGGGTTGGGAGTGTTCGCCCCCCCCCCCCCCCGCGTATTGTTGTTTACACACAGGATTCCCCGGAGTTGGGTTTTCGCTTGCATTTTTTTTTCAAAATACTGCTCTCGCTGAGGCGCCAGCCTCATTTTCGGGCCCCGCCCGTTCCGAATCGTGCTCCCGCTGCAGCGCTGGCCTCATTTCCGTGCTTCCGCTCGTTCCGAATCGTACCCCCGCTGCAGCGTTGGCCTCATTTCCGCGCTTCCGCTCGTTCCGAATCGTGCTCCCGCTTCAGCGCTGGCGTCATTTCTCCTGCCATGCCACGGCATGCAATGCAATGCTAGGCTGCGTTCCGCTGCGCGATTCCATGCATTCAGCTGAAGCTGTGATATGCAGTGCTTAAGTGCCACGTCGTGCTATGCCCCGCTACGCTTTGATCTTCAACGCCATGCTATGCTATGCAATGTTATGTTCGGGGCCGCTGTGCGATGCCATGCTTTGCGTTGCAAAGCTTTGTGATACAATTCTTCACTACGCCACGCCACGCCATGCTGTGACATACTACGTTTTGCGGTGCTCTTCTACGCCATGCCATGCCGTGCTCTACAATGCATCGCGTACCCTTTCGGGATCATTGCCCTGCTCGACATCCGATTGTGCGAGAAGAGAGGGGATGTACGCCATGGTAAGGGATGGGCGGGAGGGGTATGATGTCATATATGACGCGAGCGCAGCTAACTTGTCCTGCCCCCTCTCCCCCTTTCCCTCTCCTTCCCCCCGTCCTCCCCCGCCTCCCCTCTCCCCTCCTCTCCCTTCCTCTCCCTCCCCCTCTCCCTGCCCCCCCGTTGTCATGACCATCGTTCACAAAAACGCCCGGTCGTTCACGACGGACGACCGAATCCAAGAGCGTATCACAGAGCTTGACGGCGTGCGTTGGGATTTCCTGCTCATCAATGAGACGTGGAGAACGACGGCGACGGAACTATGGACAACCACGGAGGGACGCACTTTCGCTGGATCAGGCAGCGACCGGACGTGTCACGGAGTTTCAATTCTCGTGCACAACAGCTGGGGCAAACATATACAGAATTTCCAAGCACTTTCGCCGAGACTAGCCACAATGTCATTGCAGAAGGTCGGCTGAATTGCAATTGGTGTCTGCGTATTTCCCACACTCTGGTTACAACGACCCGCACGTCCAGCGCATGTACGACGCCATCCATGAGATCCATAGAGAGAGAGAGAGAGAGAGTATCAAAACACGACGTCACATCATTCTCGCCGGCGACTTCAACGCACAGGTTGGGGCACCCGCCATTTGTGGAGACAACGACAACGACGACGACGACGACAGTGTCACCTCAAGATACGTTGGCCGCCACGGTTATGGGAACGAAAATTCAAGAGGCACCTGGTTACGACATTGGGCAGCACAGGAAGGGCTTGTAATCGCGAGCGCGTTCTTCCGCAAGCCGGCGTTCAAACAAATGACGTACATCAGTGGCGACAACGAGAAACAATTCGACTACATATTGCTGAGCCGCAAGCTTTTCCGACATTGCACGAACGCTGAAGCCA